AGCATAATATTTATTTTCACACGCATGCACACATGCAGGCAGCACATATGTATTATTTGCTTTTCTTTGTATACTTGCAGGTATGGAATGAATTCTTCATGCTGTCGGGCTAAAAAACTTGTGGAATACTTCGGAGAGGATTTTAGTGCTGAAAAGTGTCTCTTGTACGTATCATTGCTTCTCTTTTTGAGGTTCCGTTTTATGTTTAATGTGTTTTATCTTTAGCCACAGTTGACAGTGTTTCATAGTTTATGCTCATTAAGCAATTTCCTTAATGCAGGTGTGATGTGTGCGTTGATGGACCTCCCGAACTAAAGAATTTGATAAAGGAGGCAGATCTCATCATGCAGGTTATATCTGCTCATCATGCAAGTCAATACAGGAATGGTTCATATGATGATGCTACAAGTAGTGACATTAGACTTAGACGTGAAAGTTATATGGGGAAGCTAAATCTCAGGATGATTATCAGTAAAATAAGGGAGCAGGTGATTCTCACTCTCTCACTCTATGCTTTCGTGAAATTCTAGTGACGGTGCTTAAAAAGCAACTCAAATTCTAACACATTGTTTGGTGATTTTCATACGATGACCATGAACACCGCGGCGTGCAGTCTCAAGAATTCATGGCAACTGAACTGCTTTGGTGGCAAGGCCTTGTCCGAATTATGGAAAGTAAAGGATACATGAAAGAGGGAGATAACAAGGTGCACATTCACCATGCATGCATGCATTTGTATGCTTCTGCTTACATCTATTTTGTCAGTCTAATCTCAGAGTTTCAACGTAAATATTCAATGCAGACGCATGTTCAGCTAAAGTTCCCTGAGCTAACAGAACTTGGTTTGGAGTTTCTTGAAACCAAAAGGGAGCAAACTTTCAATGTTCACCCTGAAGCAGATATGCTGCTTTCTGCAAACAGACCCAAATCTTTCTCAACTTTCTCGGAGTGGGGAAGAGGCTGGGCTGATCCTGAGATTCGACGTCAGCGGTTAGAGAGTATGCAATGCAACAGAAAGCCATTTAACGCGGGAGGTAAAAGAGGACGACGAAAATCACGAAAGCAACGACATAGTCCAAATTTAAGAACTGCTCGAGGTAGAATAGAAGCCAAACTCTCCAAAAAAGGTGCCCGACCAAGGTCATTGAAGCATTGACAAGTTTGGAATTTACATGTAGAATGAATCTCTGACACCAATTGACCAAATAGGTTGTGGTGGAGCCTATGATTCAAAATGCAATATTTTTCAGTAGCATATTGCTTAATCGTAGGATTAAAACCCATTCTTCTATTGGATTTTTATAATCGTTTTTTCGCAAATTGAAAATTGAAAAAAAAAAGTTTGAGTTCAATTTCCGTTAGCACACTGTAAAATTGTACTTTCTCAAATCAAGTTTTGCCAAGAATGTCAATAAAACAAAACAATTTCTTTGTAAAGTTTAACATTTTGACCAGAAGAAAAAGAAAATTGTTGTTATTGATCATATAGTAAATGTCAAAAATTCCACCATTATTATTGTAAATATATCTTAAATCTTAATATAAAAAACTAAAAATAAATAAGAATGGTGATTATTTATCACATTTTCAAGTGATTTCTATTTTCACCCATTTTTATGTACTAGTATTTAATCAAGGTAAATAAGTTGTAAACAACAAGCGCATCTGGTGTAGTGGTATCATAGTACCCTCCCACGGTACTGACCAGGGTTCGATTCCCTGGATGCGCATTCTTTTTTAAAATTTTGCTCTCTCTCTCTCTCTCTCTCTCTCTTCATTAGGATTTTATATCACATTTACCTTTTCTTTGGCTTCTTCTCGTTCACTTAATTTACACATCATTGTCACCCATTTTTGTTAGAGATGAAAGTTTCCTTTAAATTGGCAGGCAAAACAAAAGAAAAACGCAAAGAATATTCCCTTATTGAGTTATATGACAAACCCATATAATTGAAGGAAAGAATATATGTAATGTATCTAGGCTCCCCTCAATTATGTTCCTTCTTTCTTCCATTCTTCTTATTATATGTGCACCTCTTCAAGACTTCAACTAAATAATTAACATGATCTCCATGGATTTCGGTCATGTAATTTTCGCCGTAATCGGTTTCTCTTCGTCGATCTTCTTCTTCGTGCCGAATGTAAAGAAATGGCACAGGCAACAAGTCACAACAGAAAAGTTTAGGATTGTTAATGAAGCATTGGAGCAAGCTGAAGAAAGGGCAGCGAGGTTTCAAGAAAGGCATGACCGAATTCTAAGCCAGATATGCTCATTTTACTTGATAAATAAGGAGCTGGAGGATGCCTTGGCCGGTGCTCAGGCCGCCATGAAGGAAGCATTGGAGTTTGCTGCTAATTTGAGGAGGTTGCAAATCAAGATCATTACCTCTTTCCCAAATGATCAGCTTATAGCCATGGCAGCAGAGTAAGGTTAAGGAACAATTAATTAGAGGGTACATTCTAATCATTCTGATTGCATTCCCAAATGCCAATGGTTCAAATTTTTTCATGCATAAGCTATATGGTCCAAGAAGTTTATGTTGTGAGGAATGCTCAAAGGAATTTTATTTGTTAATATAATCCGTTAAATAACTTTACGGGTTCATATTCTTATTGGGTTACAATTTTCTTTCAAATCGAAATTTTCAAATTCATTTAGGATTGAGAACTTTTCGTATCATTTGATGTCACAAAGCTCTAACTCTTAATGGGATGGTTTGGAAATAAAAAAAAATAGAAGGCAAATGCGATGGGGGTAAGGATCATTATTAGAATGCTTTTTCATCATTCCATAATCACAAGTTAAAGAGTAATATCTTCATAGGCCTTAGGATAGGAATGAGATGAGAGCGAGAATGGGGCAAGAACTCCACTTATGTATGCATATTTCATTGTATAAACGCGATGATAGATACAAATACACTCATGATTGATGTTTTTTTTCGAGAATAAGACATGAGTTATTATTTTAGTTAAGGGTGGGTGTGGTCCGATTCAGTTTGATTTTTACATCACATCGGAATCGAAATTGGTACTATTTAATAGATACAGTTCAATTCGATTTTGGTGAAAAAAATTTATGAAGCTGATAGATTCGATTTAAACTGGTTTAAGTGCGGTTTTCGGTTTTTTCGATTTCGGATAGAATATTATTTTATTTATTTTTACAAATTCCAACTAAAATTTTATTTGTTGGGCTTAAAAATTCACAAATGATTTAATTTCATGCAAAAAAAGATGATTGGGCCTAAAAAAGAAAGGTGCTTTAAAGTTGAGCTTGAGGAAATATTAGTTATTGGATTAGAAATTTAGCATTGGACTTAAATAATTTTAAAAAATGATAATAAACAGTTGGTCTAATCTGGTTTTGTAAGGTGTGAAATCAATACTGAAACTAATTTGAACCGATCCAATTCGGTTCAATGCCAATTTGTTGACTTTTTAGTTAACACAGTTTTTTTTCCCCTTTTTTTTATTCGGTGCAGCTCGGTATTTTAGTTTTCCGATCTCGATGCCAACCCCTAATTTTAATAGGTTGTAAAATAGACACAAAATTCTCCCAAAATTCCGAAGCAAATTGAGAGGAGTGAGGATGGAAAATACAAATGAAAGTATAGATGGGAATTTAGAATTGAATTGGAATTCACGAAGTTGAGTGTTTATACTTGATCCCACTAAGTAAACCTATCATGCTTAAAATAATATTATTTGGTCCCAAGGCAAAGTTAATGCCCCAACTACTCTCCAAAATACCAGAAGTCGCGGATTGCCAGCGTGTCTTCACTCACAGCCGTTGATCACCATCAAATCTCACACCCATTCCTTCACTTCAAAACAATCCCATTGGCTACAACAAAAGCACACGGATCGTCAACCTGGCACGGCCCTATAAAACACAACCCACCAAAGTACTTTAGCCAAATTCAAATCCAAGCGCTTCAAAACAATCCAACTTTCCCTCCGCAACAAAATTTTATTTTCAGTTCTAAAATCTGAGAGAGAATGGAAGCCGCTAAGGTCACCAAGGGCGCCGGAGGAAGAAAAGGCGGAGAGAGAAAGAAGTCCGTGTCGAAGTCGGTCAAAGCAGGGCTCCAATTCCCAGTGGGTCGGATAGCCCGTTTCTTGAAAAAGGGTCGCTACGCCCAGCGAACCGGCACCGGGGCTCCGATTTACCTCGCCGCCGTTCTCGAATATCTCGCCGCTGAGGTAATTTCACTGTCCAAGTTTCTCAGATCTGAGCATTTTACATCTCTTTTCCCTTCTCGAAACGCGTTTCTCGTAAAAGCTTTTCAATAAGATCTGATTGTTTTGTGCGATTGTGTTTTCTTTTGCTGTTTAGATTTTGAGAAAAATAAGGAAAATGAGGTTTGATTTTTGTTTCTTTGATTATTAATTACTAATTACTTGGTGGTGGCGTATTGAAATCAGGTGCTGGAGTTGGCGGGGAATGCGGCACGTGACAACAAGAAGACTCGGATAAACCCAAGGCACGTGCTATTGGCAGTGAGAAACGACGAGGAGCTTGGAAAGCTTTTGCAAGGAGTGACCATAGCGAGCGGTGGTGTGCTCCCAAACATAAACCCAGTGCTGCTTCCAAAGAAGACCTCCAATGCGTCTTCTGAAGCTGCTGAGAAGGCGCCCAAGTCTCCCAAGTCTCCCAAGAAGGCCTAAGACGCATGTCGTTTTTGGAGACAATATATATATAATGTCAGTAGGCATCTACAGGGCCTAGTCTTATTTTGTTTTCTCGTGTAGTAGTTAGTGCACAAATCAAAATGTGGATGGTATAATCGGAAATTTCATGTTTTGTGTAATTTTGAAATCTCCTTAATTTTATATTTGAAATTTCCATTATCAAAAGCCCGCAATTATCATTCTCGAGAGAAATTCACGGGCCCAAATCCATGGATGGAGCTTGGCAGTATCCAAACCTGACCCAATTGATCCAATTGATCAACCCACAAAACCAAAATCCATGGCCTTTGACGTGTGTTGCCCTTGCTCCGAAACACACGTCAAAGGCATAAATAGAAACACGCAAATTGCCATCGTGGCATTTTCCCCTATAAAATATTGCCTGCCAAATTACGCCAACGTGATTTCAAATCCCAGCGGTTCGAAACTCTCGCACTTTCCCTCCTAAACGAATCGTTTTACCACCAAAGTCTTGAGAGAAAAATGGAAACCGCGAAGGGGTTCAGAGGAAGAATAGGCGGAGGGAGGAAGAAGGCAGTGTCAAAGTCAGCCCGGGCTGGGCTTCAATTTCCGGTGGGTCGGATCGGCCGTTTCATGAAAGCTGGTCGCTACGCCGATCGGATCGGAACCGGGGCTCCGATTTACATGGCTGCTGTTCTTGAATATTTGGCTGCTGAGGTGATTTTGCTGATCCGCAATATCTCAGATCTAAGCATTTTAACTTGTTTTATCGAAATAATTTTTACATGATCTGATTGTTGCGTCTGATATTACTTCTGTTTTGATTTTCTCTTGATATCTGATCCTTGTTTTTTTGTTTGGAAGAATTGATCATGGACGTGTCTCTTTCCTGTTTGGTTGTTGAGAAAAGGAAGGAAATGAAAAGAAAACTGACATTTGAATGGGTTTGATTACAATTGTTTGATTTCTGTTTCTGTAATCATATCAATAAATCACAAATTAATCGGTCAGGTTCTGGAGTTGGCGGGGAATGCGGCACGTGACAACAAGAAGACTCGGATCAGCCCTCGGCACGTGCTATTGGCAGTGAAAAACGACGAGGAGCTGGAGAATCTTTTGAAAGGAGTGACCATAGCCAGTGGCGGTGTGCTTCCGCAGATAAACCCAGTTTTGCTTCCAAAGGAGACGACGTCGTCCAAAGCCTCTTCCAAGGCTCCCAAGCTCGTCAATCCCACCACCAACAAATCGTCTTTTTCTGCTGCTGTAGAAAATGCTCCCGACTTTGGGAATGAGGCAAACGACGCCGCCTCGGATGTCGCGGACAATGCGTCTCCCAATTCACCACCCAAGGAGGAGGCCTCAAGCCCCTCTTCCGGTGTTTCTGCTGTATCAGCAACTACATAAATGTCATCTATAGGAATGAAAGGTTTTTTAGTCAGAGTAGTGCACAAATGGAAACTGATAGTGGGTTGGGTATACCTATATCTGAAAGAAACTTCAAATGGAAAGTTTCTAATTTTGTGAATGAAATTTAAATGCAATCTTCTTATGGTGATCAATTGAAATTTGGAATGCAAATCCTCATATCAAATGGAAAGATTTCTTATTTTGTGAATGCAATGGAAATCCAATCTTCAAATCACAAATGTGAGTTAGGGCACTTGGCCAATATAGTGTACTCACCCCACCGCATCCGAATTCGAACTCCTCTGTACATTAGAATAATTTATAATATCATCGTTGCAAAAATAAAAATAGAAACATATTACATCCATTTTTTGAGTCAAATATCTGATTTCTTTTAGAAAAAGTCAAAACTAGAGAGCACACAACGCCCAAAAGGTTTGGTCTTTTTATTTGTGCTCCAATTCTTGGTAGCCGATTAGGATTTGGGCTATGTAATTCCAACTGCAAAGCCCATTTGAACTTCATCTTTGGTCTCTGACCAATAATAACACTTCAACCTTTGGTCTCTGACCAATAATAACACTTCAACCTTTGGTTTCTGACCAATAAGACACCGTCATCGAAGAAGGGGTTTTAGCTTGGGTTTTTGTGTACTTTGCGTTTCAGAACTTCTAGTACATTCAGTCAAGCCTTCGTTTCGTTTTACTCATGAACCGTTTTCTGGTATTCGCAGTCTGATTGGAATTCATTTTTAAATTTATTAGCTTTCGTTAGAAACTTATTACTTTCACATCTGATTCCGGCAGAGAAAACTTTCAACTCCCAACCGGATTGTGGCCATTGCCGCCGCTGCAGGGTCGGTTTTATTGTACGCCAACGGCAACAGAAATTCCGGTAAGTTCAAAGCTTTTATTTTGATCCAAAGTGAATTTTTCTTTTCCTGTTTTTGGGCAAACATTTTTTGGTTGCTGGATGAATGGGGAAACGAGAAATCAAATGTTGGGTTTTCGTTGCTTGGTTTCTAACCCAATTAAAAAAATGTCAAACGTTTGATCCAGATCGAGATTCACATTTTTAATTTGAGTCTTAAAAATAATGCATTTCTGATTGATTAACTATAATAATCAGTCATTAAGTATGAATTGGATTTTAGATTACACGGCATCAGTGTCACTCCCTGCGCCATTGCGCGAATCGCTGTGGCTTCCATGGCAATCAGAGCTATCGGTTCCACTGTTTTCTCTGGGAAATAGTTCGGTTCCATCATCAGATATAAGCAAGGATGTTTCTGGTGTCTCAGCAGCTGGAGAGATACCAAAGACATGTAGTGGATGTTTGGGCAGAGATTCTTTCGCAAAAGCGGCTGCTAAGGTTGGTCCTGCTGTTGTCAACGTATCCGCTCCACAGGGTAAAAATACATTTTGGGATTTTTCATTTTTGTTTTGAGACAGTTGTATTGTATCGAGAAATTAACAATGATGCTTTGTTTGTCAACTGTGTAGGTGAAAATGGGATCAGTCCTGGAAAGGGTAGGGGCTCCGGAACTATTATTAACCAGGATGGTACAATTTTAACGTGTGCTCATGCTGTGGTTGATTTTCATGGGCTGAGAGCTTCGTCAAAAGGGAAGGTTAGAAACTATATCCCAATTCTCATCATTTAAAATATCATAATGACTATTCCGTACTAGTTCCATTGGCGACTCTGTTGATACACATAGAAGGGCATATATTTCAAAGTAAAAATATAGGTTAAGACTGAGTTAAGAAATGCAATAGGTTTTCAGAGCAGGCTTTTAGGAAAATATATCAATCTTCAAGGATTGATGTTCGGTTCAACTTGATACAGGTTCATGTCACTTTGCAAGATGGTCGAACATTTGAGGGTACTGTGGTCAATGCGGATTTACAATCCGATGTTGCTATTGTAAAGATCAATTCTAAAACTCCACTACCAACAGCGAAGCTCGGCAGTTCAAGCAAGCTTCAGCCTGGGGATTGTGTGATAGCTGTTGGCTGTCCACTTTCGCTTCAGAATACAGTCACATCTGGTATTGTAAGGTAAATTAGTTTTCAGGAGAGTTGGTATCTTTTTCGTCTACCAGTTATCAAATTAAACTCCTAGCAACGCACACATAAAAATGTACAATTTCAAGCCTTTAATTTTTCGTTGACTATTTACGATATCATGTTTTTCTTGGTGTTTATCATCATGTTTCTCCCTTTAATGTAGTTGTGTTGACCGTAAAAGCACTGATTTGGGTCTTGGTGGATTGCGGAGAGAGTATTTACAGACAGATTGCGCAATCAATCCGGTCTCTCTCTCTCTCTCTCTCTCCCTCCCTCTTGATAATGACTTTGAATTGTGCCTAAAACTTGGCTCTTTTTTTTTGGGTATCTGACCTGAGTGTTGCAGGGAAATTCTGGGGGGCCTTTAGTTAATATTGACGGTGAGGTGATTGGTGTTAATATTATGAAAGTACTTGCTGCTGATGGATTGGGTTTTGCTGTACCGATTGACTCAGTCACCAAAATTATGGACCACTTCAAGAGAAATGGGTATGTTTTTGTTTTAGCATGAGCAAATAGTTTTATGTGATACACTTTGATAATTTGGTTTCTTTTATGATAATATATGTGAAACTAATTAGTCATGTTCGGCAGGAGGGTTGTCCGGCCTTGGATTGGATTGAAGATGATTGATCTCAATGAGATGATCATCACCCAGCTTAAAGAAAGTGATCCTACATTCCCAAATGTGAAGAAAGGGATTCTTGTCCCCATGGTATGTATATAGTTGCTTCCTTCCCCAATCTTATACATATTTATCCAAATAGTAGTTGAATGTATCAGAGGTGGAAAGTACATCTAGATGCCATCCTTTGGCAGTTAAAGAATTGCAATGACTTTTAAATGGCTTCCTAGCCTAATCTGGTAAGAGTGCCTTAGTTGCGTATTTCATTGCTTTTTCTACCTTGATATCTATCAGTCTTTTCTAAGTGGGTATGTGATGCACAAATATGAAAACCAGGCTGTTAAGGATAGTTGGTATTCAACAAATAACGCACAAGTATTTTGCAACTTGAGCTTTTTCACTAGATATGCATCAGCATGCTTTTACTCTTACTTCTTCATTGTGCACCCATTGGAATGAACATGTTCATGTTTGACTGTTAAACATGGCAGGACATTTGTCAAATAATTTACCTTTTGATCGTCTAGGTAACTCCTGGGTCACCTGCTGAACGTGCTGGGTTCCGTCCTGGTGATGTTGTTATTGAATTTGATGGAAAGGCTGTTGAAAGCATTAAGGAGGTACTGGAACCCTTACTATAATATTATTTCCATGAACTTCTTTGAGTGAATGCTATATTGGCAAAATGTATTGAATTTACCACTTTAGCAAATGACTAGATTTGTAATAATTTGTTAAAAACGGTTCGTCAAATTTGGTGAAATTGTGACAGATCGTTGAAATAATGGGAGACCGAGTTGGGGTGCCCATCAAGGTAGTTGTGAAAAGAGCAAGAGATGAGTTGACTTTAACTGTAACTGCAGAGGAGTCGAATTCAGATATGTGAATGACAAGCTTTTGTTTTCAAGATAGTTTGTTGTTTGGTTTGGTTCCTGTAATTCTGTGACTGTGGAAAGAAGAAGAGCGAATGCATATTATCCAGCTAGTTAGTAGTTAATGTTACCTTTGAAAGATACTGTTGATATTGAGGTAAATTAATTTGTAATTTGGTGTCTACTTTCTAAAATTTCTCATGTTCCCATGGAATGGAAGCCTTGTATTCATTGTAACTTGTATACGAGCAACAAGGAGAAATCGTTTCCAAAATTTAACCCATAACTTGTATGGTTCTCTTTTACTCCAACCATCAAACGTGGACTTCTATCTAATTTTACCGCAAGGACCATCATGGATGTGATTTGCAATAATTTATCTAACAGCATATTTGGCAGAAATGGACCAATATAGAATAGATGCATAAAGTCGAATTGAACTAAAGGCGATCCGAAATTTGGATATAAAAAATTGTTGATCATTGAAACTATTTTCATTGATACATAATATAACTGTTATATATGTGTAACCCCGATACCGATCTCTAGCATATTCTCATTTCCTCGAATATTTACAATGTATTTCAATACCCTAAATAATTTAAGGAAGAAAAAAGGCATAACTTGAAGGTGCTACCAAGAACAATATATTTACACCACTTCAAAAAGTTTCATCTGGCTTCAAGAAGTTATAATATTCCAGCTGAGTCATTTCTCCTCCATTTACAGGGTCGAATTGGCAACGATAGAAGCTGCATTCGCAATCCGATGATTTCATTAGACAGTTAATCTTCAGAAACAGAAAAGAAAAGAAAAGTTGACTCCAACAATCTAACTAAAATAAGGAACATTCTAGTTGAAAGCAGCTCCATGGAATCAATAGACTTAGAAAACGGGGACTTGCAAAAAGAATAAACAATATCGCATTCAGTTACCTTCCATCCATGCCAAGAATCACGACTGTGTTCTTCTGGTGTCCAAAGGCAACAGTGTACTGCAAACCTTCCTGCAAGTGATATTTAGCCACTGACCATTCTGAGCTGAAATACCTTGGCAACACACCTGCAAAAGATAAACCCAGAACAAGGTTGAAAGACCAAGATCAAGATACAAAACTACGAGTCATTTACAAATTGACGTTACAGTTTATCTACGGTGCCTCAGAGATAAACTTGGCAACAAATTACGTACCTTTCATGAAAGAGAGAGATGAAATGCCGGAAGGATTAGGAGGACTGATTTCTGATGCACTGCATGATCTATTGTTTCCCAAGGATCCTGAATCAACCTTTAGGCTGAAAACATGGACAGTGCCCTTATCACTTGAGACAGCTAGCCATTGGGCAGTAGAAGAAAAAGCAAGACTGTAAATCTCTGCTCTGTCTGCTCCTCTCCTTACCTACAGAAAATACCAAGTAATTCCTTAAAAATTAATGTTACTAAATTACCACAAAAGTTAATAAATTTTTGTGCAGAGTAGTTATAAAGACCAAGTATTCAACAGAATATGGTGGCATCATATCCAAATATACCCTGCAAAAACCTAAAACCTCAACCAAGCATGAATCCCAGTCACCTTTCTGAGACAATTTGCTTCCCAAAAACCAAACTTTGGCAAAGTTATGCCATTGCCAACCAAACTAATGAGTATATATATATTCAATGAAATCAAAAACCCGGATGAACAGACACTGACAACTTTGTCTCAGATTCAACTAAAGCTTGATTCTTAGTTCATACAAATAGACATGGCAGCACCCAAAAACACAATTTCAGAGAACATTAAGAAAAAAATAATTAATATTTAAATACCTCTTGAAGTAATGAACCATCCAAAGTATTGAAAATCCTGATCAAAGTGCCTTTGCTACTGGCCGTGGCTAGCAGCCGACCATCCTGCGTGAGCGCCAAGCAGGCGAGCCTGGAATCGTGGGCCATTACAAACTTGGTCCGCTTTGACCCGTAATTCTCGATCCGAATTTGACCTTTTTGGAGCCCCGGGCACACCAGCACCGGATGACCCGACACGTTCGAGACCTCACACAGTCCTTTGGGGTTGGCGATGGTCTCAATTTGGTGCAGGAGCTTTAAGTCAGTGAAATTGTAGACGAAAACCTTCTGGACCAAAACGACGACGATTCGGTCACGGCGGAGCCTGACCCCTTTGACTTCGGACCGGAAAGAGAGCTCGCAGATGCAACGGGACTCGTTGTCCTCCCAAATCATGACCTTGTTGGGCGAGTAGAGCGGGTCGGGTCCGCCGCCGACAAGGGC